AGCATGGTTTATTTGTTTAAGGAGCAGATGGCTGGGTTGGATCTCTGCTCTGCTATTTGTCAGAGCTCATCAATTAAACTAACTTCTGTGTTTTCCTGTCTCTTCATTGTGAAATAGGATAGTAAAATCGCCTTTCTCAAAGGATTGTGACAGTTAATTGAATTGCTATAAACAAAACATTTGAGACTGTGCCCAACCCAACTGATCCCTTGTGTGTGTGTGTGTGTGTGTGTGTGTGTGTGTGTGTGTGTGTGTGTGTGTATGTGTATGTGTGTGTGTGTGTTGATTCTGGGGCTTAACCTCAGGACCTCCTGCTCTCAGCTCAGCTTTTTCTGCTCATGGTAGGCACCCTACCACTTGAGCCATGTCTTCACTTCTGGCTTTTTTGCTAGTTAACTGGAAATAAGAGGACTGTAGATTTGTTTGCTTGGCTGGCATCAAGCCTCAATCTTCATATCTCAACTTCTTGAGTAGGTAGGATTACAGGTTTGAGCCATGGTGCCCAGAGACAACAGCAACAAAAATTCTTTAAAATATTACTTATAGTGCATATTAGTTGGAGAAGGGGATGTTTCATTGTGACAGTCCCACAAACACAGAGCATGTATCCCACAATTTGCTTCCAGGCAAAACAATCTTTGGCTGAATCGACTTTATTGGGGACACAACTCTAAGACTAGTTCTGTTTCCTCTTGTGTGGTCCAGGGTTGGACCAGTGCGGCCCTCAACATCCTCATGGAGCAAGAGTGCTTTGCCAAGTGCTCTTTAGCTCCTGCATTATATGTGTTAGCTGTAACTTGTGGCAGGAAGGACATCTTTGAAGCCTGTGCGGTACCTGCATCAATGAACATTTCCTTCATCAAACTCCCCACAATAACAAGGATTAAGCTGCAACTCCTACAAACTGAATAGCAGATGGATGGTAGATTCATTTTGCATAGAATTTTGTCTGTGGGGCAATTAAATGGATCACTGTGATAGCATCATGTTTAACTGGGAGCTGCGGTATTAGTCTCAGGTACCATCCCATCCATCCTGGGGACCGTGTTCACCTGCCTGGTAAACAGGCAGACCTATTGACATATTTTTTTACCCTCTTTAAGGTCTGTGAACTGCCATACCTGAATGGCTTAGTGAATTAACTATCGTACATATGGTCTGACTCAGAGCATCTTCCTGTTCTTCAAAAAAAAAAAATCTAATGAATTCAAGATAAGAAATCTCCAGGAGGGTAATTATGACTAAAATATGTCAGCTGTTCTGCAGCGGGGTGAATGGAGGAACCAACGCTGTTCTTTGTCTGAGGTAAATTTTCTTCTCCCATTTTCCTAATCCAATCAGTTAGCTACTATCTCTCTTTTTTGTGGGAATGGGAAGGTGCTGGTCCTAGGGCTTGAACTCAGGGCCTGGGCACTGTCCCTCAGCCTCTCTGTCCTCAAGGCTAGCACTCTACCACTTGAGCCACAGCGCCACTTCCAGATTTTTCTGTGTATGTGGTACTGAGGAATCGAACCCAGGGCTTCATGCATATAAGGCAAGCACTCTACCACTAAGCCACCTTCCTAGCCTCTACTATCTCTTCTTTAGACACCAAATAAGTGATTGTATTTTTCAAATGAAGGCCAGTACCTAAACACCATCCAACTAATATTTATAAGTCATATTATTTTCCATGTAGATGTGGGTGGCTCACGATGATGTCAACTTCCTTGGGCCTACCTGCAGGTATTGAGGAGGATGTTAATACTAAATAAAAGTAATTGCAGAGCTCCAATGATAGATCATTTCCTATAAATCATCACCCATCTGGGATTGCTGCCTATGGCATTTTGGTTCCAACCTCTCTTCCATTTCCCATTGTATCTCTCAGTCCAGAGAGTTCCCTATGAGAGATAGAACACACCATTCCCAAATGATCTACCTTGTCATTTATCACATAGGTAGTGAAATGTAGGCCTAGAGTGGAGATTGCATTGAGAAGTGTCATATTAGTTTATAAGGCATTTAATTCCTTAGAATACAGAAAGAGGTTCAATAGAGTCTATTCAGTAACTGTTTCCAGGATTTCTGCCTTTTGGGATGTCCCAAGACATTAAAAAAATTTAATTGTTGTTATAAAGGTGATGTACAAAGGGGTTACATCCCAAGAAATTTCTGAGGAGTGGCCCAACTCCCATATTCAAAAAAATTTCTCCAGCAACCAGTACATCCTTCAAAATTCTACATTTCTGTCAAACCCAGTCTTACATTAGATGCAAGGTGTTTCTATCACATCTTGATTGGGTTCTTTGTTATGTAGGGTTTTTTCCTGCCCAATGCTTTTGGTAGATGTCTACATGTATAGTTTCCTATGTCTGCTATGACAAATTATCATAATCAATAGAAATGTGCTTCCCCATAGTTCTGAAGGGCAGAGATTTGAAATCAGTGTCAGCAAGACCACCTGCTCTTAGAAAACACTGTAGGCCACATATCTCTCCTAACTTGTAGCGGCTGTTGTTGATTCTGCCCTCCAATTTCTGTCTCTATTATTTTCTTTTTTGAGTTTCTTTGTCTTTTTCTTGTTACAAGGGCAATAGCCTTTAGATTTAGTGTCCATCCTACATTCAGGATGATCTTATCTCTAGATTATATTTGCAGTGATCCTCTATCTAATTAAGGTCACATTCATAAGTGCTGAGAGTTAGGGCTTGGGTAGATCTTTCTTGGGGGTCATTATTCAATACACAAAATGTTTGAAGTACAAAAATGGTCATTTGAAGCAGTATGCCTGATTCTTGTCATCAAAGGAATTCCTTACTCTTACTTATACTAAGCCATTGGGGGGTTTTCCATCCACTTGGATATCTTAATTTCTGCTTAAAATTGGCAAAATATTCTTATTTCCTGCTGCTCCTTAGTTAAAATGGTTTTAAATGATTTTTTAAAAATGGTTTTAATGACTGTCAGTGTCACAGAGCTCATTGTTTGGAATGGCCTTACCCCTTCCGTAGGCAGGATGTTTGTGACAAAAGGTGGAAGGTAGTGCCTGTCCCCTGAAGCTCATTCCCTGCTGTATGGGTGATTAGATCCAGCCTTTACATTGTTACTTGTAACTCAAATGTTAAGTCCCTGAAGGATGCCCTAGTTTGTCTGGGTATCTGAAAGCAATGTCCAGGATCAGTGTGTTCCTTGTATAATGAACTCACATAGACATCTTTCATTTTTTGATCTTTGCTCTATTTAACAACTGGAGACTATTAGGCTGTATTGCTCTCTGAGATAAAAGTGTTCCAAGGCACAAATAACCCAGTGACCTCTGGTGAATCACTCTACTAGCATCCAGTGGTAAGTTTGCAGTCATATTTTAAAAGGAGTATCGGTTCTCAGTGGCTGATGGCGTTACCTTAGCCCCAAATCTCAAAGTATTTCTGCTATAGTTTTCCTTATAGGATATACCTTCTACCTGTCTCCCCAAACCATCTTGGTAGGAGAGGCAGAAATCACAAGACCTTATTTTCATTTTACCTGCTTGATTTGTGGGGCCAAATGAATGTTCTGGGGCTTAGGAAAATGATTCCTGGAAGTATGGCCTTTTGGTATGTCAAGTGCTTTCAACTAAGAGAGACTGAAAAGCCTAACACTCTTACATTTGTCCTGTCCTCCTGTCCAGTCATTTGTGTCTCCCTCATTCCCCCTGAAGCCAATTATGGAAACCAGAATTGGCCCAATATGGTAGCTAAATTATGTCTGAATTGGGTTTCCTGTTCTTAAGAAGCATTTGAGTTGGATTTTCCACTTAACTCTGTTTGAAGGGATGCTCATTGGCACGTTCCTAACTGGTCCCCCTCTCTCCCCAGATGTGGAACCACTGCAAGGTACAGGGATTCCCATGGGAGCCATTTTCTCTTACAGCAAGCACCATCAGATTTCTGGCGATTGTTGACAACCCTCGGCTACATTTCTATGTAAGTGCAGCCTCTGATCTTACAGAACCACTATAGTGACATAGGTTTCTTCTACAATTTCTTTCACAGAGTGACTCTCTTAAGTTTGAAGAGGAGAGGAAGTGCAAGAGAGATCATTTGGATCAATGGATTGCTTAGATTTGTGAGACTACAATCAGCTGGCCGAGTCTTGCTAATAAAGATGAGTGAGGCCTGGGAATTTCCCAAACCAACAATACTACCGATTCACAACTCCCACCATTAACTCTCTCTCTCTCTTCAATAGCAATTTCAAATTTTTGCTCTTAGCAGATATCCTCACCTCTTTCAGAAGAAAGCGGGGTACCCTCTCAGTCAATCTCCATCAAAACAGAGAGAGGTACCAGTCCATACTTGGACCCACGGTTTAGGTAGATCCAAGAAGCCCCAAGAAAGATAAGGAAAAGGTAAAGAAAACAGAACGCTATTCCTTAACACTAAGAAGCAGAGAAGCAAGAAATGAAGCCCACGGCTAAACCTTGGCAATGACTATTAGGAAAATCCCACAGGATGCCCCGCCTGCCCACAGGCCAGCTCATTTTTGCAGCTTTAGTAATCACAAAGTGAAGTCTGGGACCTCAGCATACGTCTGAGACTAGAGCCTAGACCTCTGGTCCACCCGCACAGCCCCAATGGGAGAGGACCTAGGGGTGTCTCCATCCAACTACAGTCTTCAGGGATGTGTGAGGCTACACAGGTAGACGGTGACAGGCGCCCCTCTGGCTGTCTTTAGGCCTCGCTACCTAGCAGTTTCTCTATCCTCTAGATGCATGAAATAAAACTTTCTCTGATTCGCCCGAGGAGTGTGTGTGTGTGGGGGGGGGTTCGCATAGTGGGGGTAGGGAAGGCAGGAGGGTAAAGGGGGGCGACTTGGGGCCTAACTGCTTCTCTGTGGATTCCCGGGGCGGGGCAACAGCTCCGGGAGCTCCTCCAAAGGACCCCACGGCCATCATCCCGCCCCCACTCTGGCCTCCCTCCCCTTTCCCCAGCCGGGGGAGAAGGCCAACTCCGCCTGCCTGAGTCACCGGGGCTGGAGCTGGGGAGGAGCCGGGGAGAAAGGCAGCCCTAATGCAGAGGGCAGCCCGGCGGGCAGGCAGGCAGGACGATCAGGGATCATGGGGGAGAGCACTGTGCAGCGGGGGCCTGCGCCCGGGGAGCCGGCTGGAGGCCCCGTGCATGCCGTGACGGTGGTGACCCTGCTGGAGAAGCTGGCCTCCATGCTGGAGGCGCTGCTGGAGAGGCAGGGCGGCCTGGCCCAGAGGCAGGGGGGCCTGGCCGGCTCGGTGCGCCGCATCCAGAGCGGCCTGGGCGCCCTGAGCCGCAGCCACGACACCACCAGCAACACGTTGGCACAGCTGCTGGCGAAGGCGGAGCGCGTGGGCTCGCACGCCGACGCGGCCCAGGAGCGCGCGCTGCGCCGCGCCGCCCAGGTGCAGCGGCTGGAGGCCAATCACGGGCTGCTGGTGGCGCGCGGGAAGCTGCACGTCCTGCTCTTCAAGGTCAGTGACCTTAGGCGTCCCCTAACCTGGAGCCTCTTCCCGCCTCTGGGCCACCGCTTGGGGACCACCCTCTCCCCCTCCTCCTCCCGGCCTCCCTTTGGCCTAACAGATCCACCACGCCGCCGGGGCCCCGAGGGCGCAGCCCCCCAGCTGCCAAACGGGCTCCCAAGAGCCGCACCCCGCTTCCCAGCCCCCAGCCCCCATTCCTCCGCGTGTCAGACGCCCGAGCCCCGCCTGCCGATCCGCGCCTGCCAAGATCCAGCTCGGGCACGTCCGGGGAATGTGGGCCAAGTTCCAGCCCGTGTGCCCACAGGAAAAATAACGGTGGTGAAAGTGCGCTGGGCCCACGCGGCCTCGATCTCGGTCTGCCACCCTAACCGGGCCTGGCTCACTCCTCGGAGTTTTTCAGACCCCTCCTAGCCCTCCCTCCGTCTCTCTGCCACTCCCTTCCCGGTCTTCCCGAGCCAGCCCTTTCCCTCCCTACTCTGGTTGCATTGGTAAAGTGTGGGGCAGCTTCCCCTGGTGAAATCTCTTCCCGCTGCCCCGGGTCTGGGACTTGCAGGGTCCATGTGATCATGTGGTCACTTGCAGGAGGAGGGTGAAATCCCAGCTAGCGCTTTCCAGAAGGCGTCTGAGTCCTCGGGCCCGGCTGACCAGTCCGACCTGGGTCCAGAGCAACCAGAGGCCGAAGTTGGCGAGAGCTCCGATGAGGAGGGGCCGGTGGAGTCCCGCGCTAAGCGGCTGCGGCGCACCGGTTTGCAAAAGGTCCAGAGCCTGCGGAGGGCCCTTTCGGGGAGGAAAGGCCCTGACGCGCCTCCACCCACACCGGTCAAGCCGCCTCGCCTTGGGCCTGGCCGGAACGCGGACGGCCAGCCCGAAGCCCAGCCTGCAGCGCAGCCTGTGCTGGAGTTTGCTCTGGAACCTCCACAGGATACCAAGGAAGATCCAGAGAGGCCCGGGGCGGCCGACGGGGCTCTGCTCCAAATAGAGAGTGCAGCCTGAGGCTGTCTCCACGGGGTGGGTGCCTTGTCTTAAAATAAATCCTTCCTTAATGTAGCATTCACATCCAAATAAGGAGCGAATTCTGTATCCACTGCCTAACTCTGACTCTCCCTTCCTGGCTTTTTTTTGGGGGGGAGGGGCAGAGGGGGGAGCTAATATGGTCTAAAACAGTACTTGGCATTCACCATCAATAAAAATAATTATATCTAATCTAGACTCTATGTGAAAGGGTGCGGGTGGAGAAGGAAGTTTAAAAAAAACACCAATAAAAATTCATAAATGTTTCTCCACTTCCCACTGAATCCTAGGCTCCACTCCAGTGGTACGTAGAAATAGGCTGTGGGCCACTTGTCCCTTAAACACTTTCCTTGTGGATAATCACGTTTTTCCCCATTTTTTGGGGGGGAGGGCTGAACTCTGGGCCTGGGTGCTGTCCCTCAGCTCTTCAGCTCAAGGCTAGCGCTCTACCACTTGAGCCACAGCGCCACTTCCGGCTTTTTTCTTTTTGCGTATGTGGTGCTGAGGAATCGAACCCAGGGCCTCAGGCATGCAAGGCAAGCGCTCTACCACTGAGCCACCTTCCCAGCCCCGTTTTTTCCCTTTTTTGTGTGTGCATGTATTGGGGTTTGAACTCAGGACCTCACGTTATGCTCAAGGTGGACACTACCATTTGAATCACAACTCCTCTTCCAGGCTTTTGCAAGTTAATTGGAGGTAAGAGTCTCTTGGACTTGTATACTCAGGCTGGCTTTGAACCAAGGTCCTCATATCTAGCCTTCTGAGTAGCTAGAATTACAAGTAGTGAGCTACAGGCATGGGCCACCAGCAGAACTAACAATGTAGGGTACAGGGCCACTGGCTGGTGGCTCACGCCTGTAATCTTAGCTACTCAGGAGGTTGAGATCTGAGGATCCTGGTTCAAAGCCAGCCTGGGCAAGAAAGTCCGTGAGACTCTTATCCCCAATTAACCACGAGAAAATTGGAAGTGGCACTGTAGCTCAACTGGTAGAGTGCTTGCCTTGAGCTGAAGAGCACAGGGACAGCGCCCAGGCCCAGAGTTCAAGCCCTATGACAAGAAAAAGAAAAAAGAACTAACAATGACAACAACAAAAAGCCTAAAACAAACTAGCGTTGCACAAACATGGACACAGCATCATGAATGGATCTCATAAGGGGAAGGAGTAAAGCAAAATCTCACAAGTCTTTATCTGAAATAATATATGAATGCACAAATATCAGATAGACAGCACATTTTTCCTTCTTAGATTTTGTTGTAGTTTGAATGTAAGGTGTGGTCTGAAGGTTCGTGTGCGGACAGCTTGTTGCCAGCTGATGGGCATTTGAGAAGAGGTTCTGATCTAACGTGGAATGGCTCGTGATGTGATGGCATTATTGGGAAGTGGTGGGAAGCATCCTGCTTAGTGAGGCTTAGTTGCAGTAAGTAGGTCCCTGGAGCGTGCCATAGAAAGATGTTTCCAGTCTTCTGTCCCTTTTCTCTCTGTTTCCTGTTCACCATGAGGTGAGCATCATGATATTCTGCCTCTCCCCAGGCCCAAAGTGGGTCTAGCTGACCTTGAACTGACATCTTTGACATCTTGAGCCCAAATAAACCTTTCTTTTAAATTGTTCCCATTGGTGAAGAATAGACTTAGAAGAAATGATCAAACATTTGTTTAATGCACTTTTTTTTTTTTGAGTTTTGCCTGTTTAACAACTAATGTCATACAAGTACCTACAGGCTGGTATTTTACCATGAGAACTATAGTTCTGGTTTTGCTTTTTCTTTAAGTGCATATTTTGTTTCTGTTGTAAGATGCTTAGCATCTTTCTAGTGGCTCATTTAAATAAATGTAGTACATATAAATATTCTTGGTTTATCTTATTTTTCTACATTTTTAAACATCAATTAGTTGCATCACTTTTTTGAAGCTTTTTCTTTTTTTTTTATTTGTGAAAATACAGAGGGGTTACAATTACATGGGCAAGATAATGAGTACATTTCTTATCAAGCATTGTAGCCTCCTCCTTTGTTTCCCTTTCCCATCCCTTCCCATCCCCCCCACCTCCCCCACCTGACAAAACTTGTAAAGTTCCTTTTTAAATTTTTTTTATTTTTTTATTGTGAGAATACTGTACAGAGGAGTGACAATTACATGGACAAGATAACCAGTACACTTCTTATGAAGCATTGTTGCCTCCTCTTTGTTTCCCCTTCCCATCCCTTCCCATACTCTCCCTCCTCTCGCCTTCCCCCCCCCCCAAAGTTGTAAAATTCATTTTTTGACATAATGACTTGTACATCTCATTGTTGCAATGTGTCCACCTGTGTCCCTATTTAAAGAATTTGTTTTTGCCCTTCCCCTCCACAAATTATACCAACATCAAATACAGTGAAAGCAGGGGTTATACCGTGGGGGAGGGACATACAAAGCAACATAGGAATCATCTTATAAATATGTTAGAAACAATCGCATGAAAAAAAACACATTTGAATCCTTATCTTGGGGTTCATTTCCCTAACATCAATTTATCTGACCTTTTTTGCTTGACTCAGACATATACTAGTTACTGCAAATAAGGGAAACCATGGGACTTATGTTTCTTTGGGCCTGGCTTTCTTCACTTAATATAATTTTTTCCAAATATTTCCATTTCCTAACAAATGGGGCAATGTCATTCTTTCTGATGGAGGCATAGAATTTCATTGTGTATATATACCACATTTTTTTGATCCATTGATCTACTGAGGGGCATCTGGGTTGGTTCCATATCTTAGCTATGGTAAATAATTCTGCAATAAACATAGTCGTGCTGGTAGCTTTAGTGTGGTCTTGTTTGTGAACATTTGGGTAAATGCCCAAAAGTGGGAATGCTGGGTCATAGGGGAGCTCTATGTGGAGTCTTTTGAGGAACCTCCATACTGCTCTCCAAAGTGGTTGAACAAGTTTACATTCCCACCAACAATGCAATAGGGTTCCCTTCTGTCCACATCCCCTCCAGCATCTGTTGTTATTAGAGTTCTTGATTATAGCCATTCTAACTGGGGTGAGGTGGTATCTCAATGTTGTTTTGATTTGCATTTCTTTTATGGCTAGGGAGGTTGAGCATTTCTTCATGTGTCTATTGGCCATCCTTCTTTCCTCTTCAGAGAAATTTCTCTTTAAATATTTAGCCCACTTATTTATTGGGCCGTTGTTTCTTTGAGGATTTGTTGTTGGAGGATTTAATTTTTTGAGTTCCAAGTATATTTTAGATATGAGACCCTTGTCCATTGTATGGCTAGTGAAGATCTTCTCCCAGTCCGTGGGCTTTCTATAGATCTTGCTAGCTATGTCATTTGCCATGCAGAAGCTCTGCAATTTTATGCAATCCCATTTGTGCAACCTTTCTTTGATTTGTTGTGCTTCTGAGTCTCTATTAGGAAAATTTCGGCCTGTGCCAAGGAGACCTAGGGTTTCTCCTATTCTATCCTGTAATGTTTTCAGAGTGTCTGCTTTGACTTCGAGGTCTTTGATCCATTTGGAGTTGATTCTGGTGCAGGGTGATATATAAGGATCTAGCTTTAGTTTTCTCCAAGTAGTTAACCAATTTTGCCAGCACCATTTACTGAAGAGGCTGTTTTTCTTCCATTCTATTTTTTTTTTTTTTTAGCTCCCTTATCGAAGATTAGATGGCTATAGGTCTGTAGGTTCATTTCTGGGTTTTCAATTGTATTCCATTGGTCCTGAGGTCTGTTTTGTGCCAGTACCAAGCTGTTTTGATTACTCTGGCTTTGTAGTAGAGTTTGAAATTTGGTATTGATATTCCTCCAGCACTGTTCTTTCTGTTAAGGATTGTTTTTGCTATTCGGGGTCTTTTATTGTTCCATATGAATTTTTGGATTGCCTCTTCTATTTCCTTGAAGAATGAGGTTGAAATATTGATAGGTATTGCATTGAATTTGTAGATAGCCTTGGGAAGTATTGCCATTTTCACGATGTTGATCTTTCCAATCCAGGAGCATGGGAGGTTTTGCCATTTTTTAAGTTCTGTGTTGATTTCCTTTTTCAAGATTTTAAAGTTTTCATCATAGAGGTCCTTCACTTCTTTAGTTAAGTTAATTCCTAGGTATTTTATTTTTTGTGGGGCTATTACAAATGGAGTTGCTTTCCTAATTTCAGCCACACTTTTCTCATTGTTGGCATACAGAAAAGCCATTGATTTCTGAGGGTTAATTTTATACTCTGCTACTTTGCTAAAGTTTCAAATCAGCTTGAATAATTTGGGAGTAGAGTCTGTGGGATTCTTTAAATACAAGATCATGTCATCTGCAAAGAGGGAGAGTTTTACTTCTTCTTTCCCTATTTGGATCTCCTTTATGTTTGCATCTTGTCTTATTGCTGTAGCTAGGCATTCTAATACTAGATTGAAGAGAAGTGGAGAGAGTGGACATCCTTGTCTTGTTCCTGAGTTAAGAGGAAATGGCTTTAGTTTTTCACCATTAAGTATAATACTGGCTGTAGGTTTGTCATATACAGCCTTTATTGTATTGAGGAATGTTCCCTGGATTCCTAATTTTTCCAGAACCTTCATCATAAAGGGGTGTTGGATCTTGTCAAATGCTTTTCTGCATCTATTGAGATAACCATGTGGTTCTTATCCTTGCTCTTGTTGATGTGATGAATTATATTAATTGATTTGTGTATATTGAGCCAGCTTTTCATCCCTGAAATGAATCCTGTTTGATCATGGTGTATGATTTTTTGGATGAATTGTTGAAGTCGGTTGGCCAAAATTTTGTTGAGAAGTTTTACATCAATGTTCATCAAAGAAATGGGTCTATAGTTCTCTTTCTTTGATGAGTCCCTGCCTGGTTTTGGGATGAGGGTTATGATGGCTTCATGGAATGAGTTCGGTAGTGAACTTTCTCTTTCAATTTCATTGAAGAGTTGGAGGAGTATTGGTATGAACTCTGCTTTGAAGGCCTTGTAGAATTCCATTTTGAAGCTTTTTCTTTTTAACTTTATTTAAAAAATTATCTTTAAGTAGTTGTACAAAGGAGTTGCCTTTAGCAAAGCAGTTTATGGATACAATGCATCTTGATCTAGGGGGTTTCATTCTTGATCCTACTGTCTCTGCCTCCCAAGTAGTAGGACCCAGACTGAGTCACTCTGTCTCATTTCTATTGTCCTGAAAAATTCAACAAAGGCACAACAGGATCAGGTGTTTCC